TCGGCATGAACACGCCGGTCGAAGTCGACATCTACGCCCACGCCAACAGCACCAACGTCATGGGCAGCCGCATGCTAAACGGACTGGGCGGATCCGCCGACTTCCTGCGCTCGTCTAAATACAGCATCATGCACACGCCATCAACACGGCCCTCCAAGACCGATCCCATCGGCGTCAGCTGCATCGTGCCCATGTGCACGCACGTGGACCAGACGGAGCACGACCTCGATGTCGTAGTCACGGAGACGGGTCTCGCGGATGTCCGCGGCCTGAGCCCGCGCGAGCGCGCCCGTGTTATTATTGATAAGTGTGCCCACGACGACTACCGCCCCATCCTCAAGGACTACTTCGAGAAGGCCGAATTCGAGTGCCTCAAGAAGGGCTGGGGCCACGAGCCGCACCTGCTGTTCAACACGTTCGACATGCACAAGGCGCTGCTGGAGGAGGGCAGCATGCGCAAGATTAAGAAGTGGTAAAAATTTTGTAAGGATTAGATATCGGACCGCTATAAGATCTACACGGATACTTAGGATACTGGCATGTTTTTTACGGTGTCGCATATAGGATGGGATAGATGCAGAAGGAATCTGTATCTAAAGCTTCGATAAGTACATGTACATACATGTACGTACATATATTCTTTGATCTGGTCGCTGCCGAGGTGCGCGCGCTATGTAACTGAAGCTATACACCAATTGTGGGGAGATGAAGGTCGGCATAAGATCTTATATAGGCCAATCCTTAGCAGCGAGTCCTAATAAAGAGCCTTCGACAGCCCTTGTTGCATATTGTGCTTTGCGCGCCCCGAGCGCAGAGGGGCCCGAGGTCGCGCTGAAGGGGCAGTAGCAAAAGCACATGCCCTTTTAAAGCGAGATGTTAGGTAAATCTATAGTTATTTTTTTGTTACACGTTAGGCTGCCTGGCGCTATTTATCACCTTCTCCGCTGCCGACTACCATCAGGAACGTCTCCCTCATTTCAAAGAGTGGCGGCCCCTTTCGAAGAAGGACAAAGTCATACATGCTTGTGGTAATGCCCACGAGAACCCCTATACCGCCACGCACTGGTTGCACATTGGTTCTAAGCATTCATGAAAGCGGTAAGGGGTTTCAAATCTGAGCCCCCGTGAAGAGCGGTCGTGAGATAAGTAACGCCAGCTTGTTTCTATCTCGCTACCTACCCTCCTATCTTGATGTATTGGGTATAAATATTGATTCATAATAAGTTAACTTGTCCAACCAGCCCCATGCCATAAGCCTTCACCGTCGATTACATGGTAGAAGTAGTGCGAACGCTGCCACGGTAGCCAAACCGCCAGTCATAGATGGGGACCCCGCGGGCGAGAGATCCACGGCGACCCAGGGTGTGGGCTACATATGAATAAGCGGTGAGAAAGAGGCGAGTCATCTATAGTATTCTCGACGACGCAGTAGTCGCTTTGTTCCACTCTTGGCGACCTAGATATGGGAGCAGGTGGCTGCCCATACCGCTGGTCCGTCTCGTCCGTGTCGATAACCTCTCCTAATGACTTCGGCATGTTCCTTGGCTTCACGGCTTGTTGTAGATTAGAAACGGGGAGATTGGGATACTGTTATGAATCGCGTAGAAAACGTCTGAATTAGTAATTAGGTGATTGCCTTGTTGGGAAGTTACGGCTATAACCATACAGACCCTCTGTCCAGCTAAAGGAAGTGATGTTTGGACGGACAGGCTCTTCGATGGACCGCTGATGTAACTTATGAAGTTAACTTCTCTGATGAAAAGGAGTCCCAGAAGCTATACAGTTGCAGAGCAATGAATTCTCAGTCTTCTCTGCGAGAGACAACAACTCAACGTTGAGGCTTTCAGGGGCAAAGCATCTTCTGCCCCATATTTATCATACGTCAGTATTAATTTTCAGGTTAGTCACGCATCGCACATGGGCAGCAAGGGGAACTGCATTCTAACGTCTTGGAATACTATCCGTGCATGCCAAGAGCCGGGCAAGGAACCGAGGATCTGGTGGTTCCCTATTGCTGGGTGCGCTAATGCCGGCAATGATGCACCTGGGACTCTTCTTACTTATCTACATATACGTACATGTAGATATATTGTCTATTGAAAACTGCCGCTGCATCATAAAAGAATTGCTCAAACTAGCGCAGAAGTCCGGATTGACGTCCCTGATTGCCACTTAGTCTTTCGGGTTATCGTTGAGCCTACCCCTGACCCCTATCTTACGTAATATTCCCGCGTCAAGTCGGTACATACATGTAATCATAAGGAGACCCTCTACGATTCATATCAGCGTCTTTTCTTGCTTGAAGGTACGAATTGATTACGCGACGATATTGAAGCTTGCTGCTTAACAACCTAGACAATGTTTAACCAAATTCTTGAATTTCCATCGTGCGATCATATCTTTGCATACATACTAGGTACATAACCCCACCATAGGATATTGCGGGCGATGGCCCTACACAGTTAATTGTCGTTGCGCTAGAAGGTTGGTTAGTTTTCGAAACCGCTCATACTCTTTACAATAGTCTAATATACCTGGGATGAAGATATTCCCAAAGTAGGTGGGAAGCGAAGTCCGGCTCACCCGATAGTGGTGTCAGTAAACTGATGATGAATGACCTTGGCGATGCAGATTTCATCCATAGCCATTACGGCCTGTCTACTAGCCTGGCCAAGTTAGCGGAGCTTTCCGAGACCTATATCTGTGTAACTGATTCCATAGCTCGATACGAGCAGCCACATCAAGGACCCGGGCGCTAAGAGAGGATGATCGTGCCAATCTATAATTAATCCGAAAATTATCGATTGCCGATTGCCAAAATAACGAACTCGAAGGTCAACGTTATGCGATCGATCCCATACTGTATCTGGAGTATCACCTACGCTGTAACCTGGGCTGTAACCCAGTGGAAATCGCTTCACGATGGAGTCACTCCCCGTCGAACTACTCACTGAGATTTTTGGTCACTTTTGCTTCCACTGCCAGCACCCCGGAATATTTCCCAATGCCGACTTTGCCGAAGTCCGTAGCGACAAGAGGTCTCTGGCTTATCTGTGCCGGACGTCAAAGACAATGTGTGCGGTCGCGCAACCCATTTTATACCATTACTACGCGACTGGTAACAACCGAGTCGAGACAAAGGTCTACAGGGGACATGATGTCAAACGCCACATGCGCCCTGCCGAGCCGAGTTTGTTACCGCGATTCGTCCACACTCTCCTTCGTCGTCCTGACCTGGCATCACGGATCACTGTGATGCATATCGTACTAGACATGAACAAAATCATAGTTGAGAAGCAGATGGAGATGATAGAGTCAGTGTTCAGGTTGAGCATCTGCTATCTTATGTTTGAGGAACCCAACATATCTACAAAGTGGTATGAGCGCTGGAACACGGACTGTTGCACAAATGAATTGGAGCCGGAGCTGTTGCTCGCTGTACTCGCTATGACTTTTGCACCCGGACTGGAGCATCTACTGCTTGTCTCGAACCAATATGCCGACTTCTCCAGTTACCGACATATTCTTCCTCTAAAGCTACCATCTCTTCGGACGCTAGGTCTGATAGGAGACGAGAGGAGCTGCCACTTCGACGACCCACGGGAGCTGTATGCCGCAGCACCCAAGTTGGAGACCATTTATGCATTGAATGCGGGGGCCTGGGGTGAATATAGGTACGGCCATTCTTCCGTTCCTGAACGCTCGCTCCAGTCGTCAAACTTGAAGAGGCTAGCCATTTCCAATTTGGTTCCCGATCGCTTACCCGGATTGATACATTCTACCCCGAAGTTGGAGTGCTTAGAGTACTTTTGGGACGGGAAGGATAAGTTTAATGTTGAAGATATGGCGGAATTGCTACGGCCCATCAAGAACACGCTCAAGAAGTTGTGTATTGGGTTCATACCTAGCGGTTACGACGCTGACCATGATCCCTTCCCAAAGTGCATCGAACCACCAGAGGTGGGCTATCCTCCGCTCAGGACCCTCCGCGAGTTCGGCGTTCTAGAAGATCTATCCATTGACTGCTTTGCACTCTATCCGGAAAGCCGGGAACCCGATGATGCGAATCGCCTTGTCACATTGCTGCCGCAATCAATTCGGAAGCTCCGAATCACATACATATATAGGGGCGTAGACAAATGTCTTCGTCAGCTTGCTGAAGACGCACCGGCAGCATTCCCATCGTTGAAGGAAGTTGTGGTCGGTATTGCGGCGAGAACAGACCCAGCGTTCGATTGTGGTATCGACAAGGTCATAAGGCTCGGCGGACTGTTCGCTCGCTCAGGTATCAGGTTCTCCTGGAAAAAGGACCTTCTAGGGCCAGACCCTAGAACTATGATTCCGGGTGCTATGCCCGGATCGAATTATATTCCTCTGCCGCAGGTGATGGATGAAATCGATAAACTTGCGTTTGAGGAAGACGAGTAAGGCTTAATTGCCTAGAAATAGGCCAAGGCGGTATTCACATGTATATTGAACACAAGGCATGAGGGAAAATAGAAGGGCAAAACTACGGTAATGTTAGCGAAGTCAGTATTGATACGTTACTAGTGTACATGTAATTTATATATATAACTATTTATTCAAGCATTAGGATAATGCTTGTAAGATCTTATTAATTTAGATATTCCACCAAAAAATAAACCGAGTATATACCTCATATAAGTACATACATAAATTTATGCCTGCCTAATGAACCCATTTTGTTCAGTGAGTTAAAAACGTACTTGTAGTTTTTCATTCTGTCTAGTTCTTCATCTGATATTGTAGAGACCTAGAGGCATGGAATAACATTATGGTCTCTTCACAAATAGCGTTGGGACTACTATGAAAACGTGTTTGCGTCCATTTCAATTGTATTAGCCCCATCAACCATTCTTTATATAGTCACAAAGTGGGTAGTATAATAAGCGATGAAGCCAAGCGGGGCCATAGGGGCTCGTAACCTAACCTAATAGTATTATAATCGTAAATAGCGGCGGAACTACATCAACAAGTCAGCCCCTATAGCTCAGTGGTAGAGGTATGTTGTGTCCCGTTCATTCTCCTCTTATGATCGAGAAGCTAATACGATACACAGCGTTTCACTCGTAATTGCGGGAATTCTCTGGTACATTATAGATGTATCGAGTATATCGCATATAAGCGACATGAAGAGGTCCATCGTTCAATCCGGTGTGGGGGCACTGTACTTTTTTTTTCTTGCAGCCATTCTATGGTGGTAACTTTTTCAAAGTCACTGGGTTCGCTAGTAATGTTACGTCCATGGGCCGATATTATACCATCTCCATAGCCATAAGTCCTATTCAACTTGTGAGAAGAAGTCTATAAGGATTTGAAGGCCTTCAGCTACGTCACCGTACAGCCACTTAGTAACAATATGATCAGTATCGACTTCTGTGTAAATGTGAGGATTAACTGAATTCCATCGCCATAACGCAGGTGCTATGTGCCCTTCATAGACATGGTACAATATAGATGCTCAGGGAGATCTAGTGTAGAGGATAGGTCATTTCACCCCCGCTGACCACAGGACGACAAGGAGGAAGAACTCCCTGGAGAGGATCCTCCAGATGCTATCTGTCCTTCGTCTTTTCCTTGGTAGATGTCTTCCGAGCTCGAATCCCACATCAAGCCCGTGCCGCTACAAGGTCGGCATTCTTTGACCCTGGATTATGATTCGATTAGAGCACTCTCCTAGCAATATTTGTCATGGTGGCAACTTACAATCTCGGGGTACCAAGGCAATAGGTACAAGAATAGGGCATACGATGGTCAGGTCCGAATCCATATATTCTTCTGTCCTCTAGCGTGGAGCTTGATACGTTGCTTGTCGAGTGGGAAGACATGCCGAAGATTGCCAGCTGCGGTAAGAATGAAAATTTCGTATGGTTTAGTGGTTGGATTCGTGAGTATAGGTTGAGGGTTGCTCGAGTCTCGGTAGTTTTACTTACAGCTCGCAACGTATGCATGGAGAATCTTATATGCTGAGATAGAGCCCTGGTTTACAATCTATTTCTTGCTACCCTACCTCAGCATGCATGGTGCTCTACCCGACAAGGCGGTCTGTGTTAACCAAGGGGCTCACCGACTTGTGCCATGCCGTTCCTCATGCAGTATATATCGTGTGTACAAGACGATCAGATAAAGCAGAGGTTAAGCACTCGGAATTGGTTACGTTGCCCAGAAGGCTCGGCACCCCTTGCTATCAACTCAGGGCGGACTACCATCTCCATCATCCCATGTAATGTCGGTACGGGATATTTCACGCCACCTGAACGTTGTATGACTTAGTGTCATATCAGGTGTGCAGCTTATATCAAGCCCTCAAGCCGCGATCGGCTACCTTTAACGAATTATGCGCCTCTATCGGGCCCAAGAACTTTATCGGATCCTACCGGGGCTGCCCCGTTTCTGTATCTCGTGGTTCGCGTCCCTCTGCGCCACCGTTACATATTGATAGGGGTCGGCAAGGTTCGTCACTGGTAACGACGTCCCGCGGTCCGATACTGCTTTATCCGAGTGGTACTTTTTCTAGAATTATGGAAAAGGGCTGAATCAAGATTCAGCTGGAGAGATGAGGCAGAATTCCACTTCCCTTAGTGCCCTACTACGGGTTCTTGCTTCCAATTTAGCTGATCACCTGCAGGTAGCCGCAAAACGGGCTGATTACTTTGCTATCCTATGGCGACACGTCACAAGCGTGCCATCCGATTACAGTTACTCTCCGTATCTAGGTAGGCAACAAAGAGTGACTGATGCAGTGAACATTCACATACCCGCAGTCGAATCCCAATTGTGGCGTTGGCGCTTTGATCTTGCATCGAACCCGATTCATAACGGTGAGAGGCAACCACTTAGCGCTGGGAACATGTTAGAATCACGGCATCTTTGCTTCCCAGCGATCTCGAGCCGACCACCCGGCACGCATGTGCAGCTGTCCGTGCCATAATCGGATGGCGCCCCCCAGTCGAGTATTGGTCATGGTAAGACGATTCCCGCTTCAAATTTCTAGCCAGCCAAGGTGTCGTGCTACAAGAGACCTTTGACCCTATACCTTGTGCAACTTTTTAAACTGCCAAATTCAACTTCATTTATATTAATTGAATACATGTTGCTCTCTGCTGCTTGCATGTGCTCCTCTAGGCTGCGCGACGACGGCTGAGGTCCGGACCCTAAGGGTTTTTCAGGGCGGTGGGATCTAAACCCCCTCGAGAGATTTCTATAAACGTAGTTGCCGATAGATTCTTATTTAAACTATAAAATAGCTGGCATTGTAAATACTCCCTCCACACAACTGTATATGATGGACATGTTCGGGCCGCAAGAGGCGGCATCGGCGCTAGCGGCTACCACACTGATTCGGAATGCATCCCGTGCGTTCATGGCCCTGGCCGCAGTCCCTCTTTATGAGAGAATTGGTTTGGGATGGGGAAATAGCGTCCTGGGGTTTATCACTCTTGCTTTTACACCCGTACCAATTCTGTTTTTCAAGTACGGTGGGTGGCTGCGGGAGAAGTTTCCGGTCAAGCTATAGAAGGTCTAGAGGAAGTCAGTACTGCATTATAAAAATATGGAATAGATGGTTATGGAACTGGAATCGCCATATATTTTCCTACTAAGCACCATTTAAGTTCTTTTGTTTACTAGGGCAAAGAAGAGAGAAGATATTAATATTAATCATAGTGCGGTAGAGTGTAATTTCACTGTTTCTTAGGAAATCCATCCAAAATCGATGGAATGTCAGTGGAGAAGGGAAGTTTGATAAACTCTATAGGTAATCCTCACTGGTAAGATACCCCATTCTATCCGATCCGCGTATCATAGTAACTCCGACTCTCAATCCGCAGGGCCCATAAAGATCAACCGCAAGGCAAAGAACAGCCCTTGATTCTATAGCTTATAGGTTTGGTTGTTCGCCGAAGTGTAGGTACAGCTCTGCCAATTCTCAATACGGACGTCACCCCAAGAATACATCTCATCCCAATCCGGTGTACACTCCTCCCAAACAAGGTCCCAATCGATAGTCAAACCAGAAGTCAGCTGACCCGTACCCTCACCAGTCTTGTCGCTACTGGACGCAGAGACAAGAAAATCGATATAGGTAGAATCCTGTCCGCCTCCTTCACTGCCGTGGAAGCATGGAGACCATACTAGCTGGCCAGGGGGCCTCACTGCTACTTCAAAGTCGTCGTCAAAGCTATCCTCTCCACCAATGGCGGTTGGGGTCAGCTGGGTGAGCTATTCCACTCTGTTAGTGTACCAGAAGACCGGAATATGCACACAATAGAGCATAGCGAAGGAAATTCATAAGACATACCATGGTGGATATCGATAAGTTTGTGATCTCTGGAGGTGTAATCGGACTGAAGTTCTTGAGATGCTGCAACCGGAAGATAGCTGTTGTATTGAATTGGAATATCTGCACGCCCTCGGTCAAGTTGGCATGGCCTCTGACAGTAGCGCCCGCGATAGCAACGCGGTACTTATAATACCAGCTGTTCAGTTCGATTCTGAAGTCGCAGCTCGCATACTCCTCGGTACGGCCATGGCCCGTAGTCCAAAACTGCATTTCAGAGAGGCTCGTTGTAAGTTTGCTGGGCTCGACAGAGACCCCGATGCTTTTCCCTGGAGAACATTGGAAAGGGATACTAGAGGTGATCAAGCTAACTGCTGGGAGCTGCGGGGGAGGGTCGCTCAGTGCAGTACCAGAGGCCACGACAGAGAGAACTGTGGCGATGATAGACACCCTCATGATTGTATAAGTTTACCAAGGTACCTAGATATATGTGGTAACGAAATCTTGAAACCTGCGTGGTGAAGTCGATCTTAAATATCCTAAATAACGATTGAACGTACCAGGGATTAATAGGAGACGGAAGATTGTTTGCAACATTGTTTGCTTGAAGTTTCTAAGGTAGATAGATTAATTATGTATATTTGACGTAAACGGCGGGGTTCATTGATATATTATCCTCAGTAGTACAGTTACTCCCTTTTTTGTTATCATCGAACTCACGGCGTTGCTGGAAAGGGTAGTAAAGGGGAGGTAGCCGGATATTTCCATTCTCGACGAGCCGTTGTAACGTTATGCACCAATACCGTAATTACCACGGTGTGACTGATACCTATCAGGCGCAATATTGAAACTGACTAAGTGCCTCCTAATCAACGTCGAAAGATACGATCGTGGGGATATTTATAGTCATGCTCCATGAAGGTGAGCTTCGTACTAACAAGCCTCGATATTTGAATGATTTAGGGCTTAATTAATCCAACACTAATGCGCATTGTCGGATATTGAAAGCCTGTTCTTACAGTGCACCTATGAACTCTACGAAGAGGAGACCAGAATGACGGCTTACCGTTTAAACACCGAATCAAAGGGGTCATTGACGAGGCATTCGGTTTTAAGGTGGAAGAACAAGAGGATGAGCCGCAATCCGTGTAATCCCTGGCGCGTGGGCCAGAATATCGGTACCTAGTAGGATTCATCTGCACTGCCGTAAGCTAAGACATCTTACTACCTAGAATGCAACATATTTAACGCGCTCGCAGATAAATTATCCATCAATCCCTTACTTGACCAAAACCACTAGGACTGGAAAACAAGCAAGGAGCTTCGAAGAATCGCAGCAATGAAGTTGATTATTTCGGGAGCCACAGGGTTTGTGGCCAAAGAAGTCGTACGACAGAGCCTAAGCAGAAGCGAGATCACATCGGTCATTGCTCTGGCGCGCAAACCGGTCCCTATTCCCGAGAACCTCGCCGACGGCGCTGACACCTCCAAGCTCAAATGTGTCGTAGTGGATGATTACGAACATTACTCGGAAGAGACGAAGAAGGAATTTGCTGGAGCTGCGGCGTGCATTTGGTAATGAGCATTCATTGCTGTTCTCCCTCGTTGCGGAGATAAGACTTTAAACCCGGGTGAGAGATCACTGACGACAAACTAGGACGGTTGCCATAACACCGACCAAATCTAGGACGTACGACTTCGACGAAGTCAAACGCGTCTGTCAAACAAGCACCCTCGCTGGATTAAGGGCTATGCATGAAGCCGGTGTCACGAAGCCTTTCCGGTTCCTGTATATGAGCGGGGCGGCAACCGAAAGGGACCAAACAAAAACCCCTCGCTTCCAACCGGAGTACTCACTCATGAGGGTAAAGAAGACGCTTTTAATAT